ATCACCTTTATAGAAATGACATACAGGCATAATACCTTTTGGATGCTTGAATGCATATGATCACCATCCAAATAATAGACACGGTCCCTTATATACGGATGCAAAGACCAGTCAGCATCCTGGGGTAGCTTACTGACAGACAGAACCCCATGATTTCCACTTTGGAAAGGAAAAAGCCAGCTCTCATGCTTCTCATGCAAATCCTGCAGATATTCTAGAGAGACTCCACCTTCCTCTGCTCTCTTGCGCAGCATCATACGCTTGTGACAAGTATCAGGGCTTGCTCTTAGGTAGATAAAACCATCAGGAATAAGACCAGGCAAACTTGAAACAACTGGATCAAACCACGAGTCATAAATGCTGATCTCCATCTCATTCATCCATTTTGCCTCATGAACAGCTCTCACAAAGACCTTCATCGAACAAGAATGACAATTAATCAGCTGCAATAATCCATAACCAGGCTAGCTCGTCTTCTCTCTTATAATATTGACAAAAGAAAAATGATAATAAATGTTAAGTACCAGAATTCTACCAATATATTTTAAACATCGTCATTATAAGAATTTTCTGATAATGAAAATCTTCTGAGATGCATCTGATATGATGATCCCATAACCAATAATATGCAGGATTTCACAGACAATATAAAATACATTTTAAAGTAGAAGGATTCATTATATTTCGTTAGTAAGAATAGTAAGTAGGACACACACCATTCTATCACTGAAAACACTCCTTTCCATTAGTCTGAGGGGTTTAATACCACCGGATGACTCCCTCTCCTGCATAACTCTTGTAACGAACACATAGTTTTGGAAGGTATATGCATATCTCTCTGGCTCGGCATAAAATGCATCTAGTATGTTGAAGTGGTCTGGACCCACATTCTGCCACTTGTCAATAGGTTCAGGAACAATCTCCACAAGATCTCTAAGCTCCAGTGTTTCATTAGCTATTCTCTGCAAGAATGTGGTCTTCCCAACACTGATATTTCCTTCAACACAGAAAGTGAGTCGCTTTTTTTGGGCAGGCTTAATATCCGAATCAGAGCTGTTCTCCTTCATCTCTTCATCCACGCTATCCTTGATGAAGGTAGTTATACTTTCTGCGTGGTTTCTATGTATGATTCCAACCGAACTTTGTAAAAACTCAACCATTTTCTGACTGGATGTCCCAAAAAACTGCAGCAAGAAATGAATCCTCATTATAAAATGGCCATGGAAAAAGACAAATAAGTACATTGTACATTTGCATTGATTTAACCTTCAATGGTTGCTAATTTATCTCTCAAAGCAAGCACGTCAACCAACATATATTAATTAAAAACTGCAAAAATGAGAGAAACAGTTGCTAAGCTATAATAAAGTATCTAGGAAAGCCTCAGAAGTCAAAATGAACGTCAAAGATACAATAAAAAACAAGTCATCAACAAAAACTCTACAAATTAAACTCTAAAATCTCTTTCAACTTTCCCTTTCCTCAGCATTTTAGCAAGAGTACATGCTCATACAATAATTATCGAACTCCTCGTGCAAAATTAAGGGTCTGAAGTTGTAAAGATGCTTAAAACAATACAAATTTTCATGGAATACGCATAGACTATATATACCAATATATCCAATGAAACAAAAATGCATACATTTTCCTCTCGTGCAAAATAAACCTAATGGAACTAACATTCAAGCATATACGAGTTTTGTCCATAATAATATGCAAGCATGATATATAAATAGTAAATTTAAGACAGTAATAGGTATACCTTATCTTTATATAGCCGTTTAAGCTGAGCAACACCATCAAAACCCTTCTCTACCAGCTTCCTCAAATTCCTCGGCCCGACTCCAGGTATTGTCAACAAATCCGGGTTCCCAACAACCACCCCACCTCCAACTCCACTATTTCTCTGCCTCCTCTGCACTCTCACTTGCCTCTCCTCCGCACCTTTTCCGTACTCCAAATTATCCACTCCCTTAGCCTCCGTGACGGCAAACTCAGCCCCCTTATCTGAGCTCCCGACCAGCGTCCTAAACCACAGAGCACGAGGCCCATTCTTATTACCACACTTACTCTCCTTCAACACAACCCAAGCCCTCGATGGAACTTTACTACTCCCCCCGCTAATACTACGACTACCATTTTCGATGGCACACCTACACAGATGACAATTGTTAGAGGCCAGTTTCGTAAACTTGAGGTTCTTGGCTGCCGCAGTGGATATGGGATTTTCGGGACCGTGGTGGAGGGGCTGGTGGAAGGAAGCGGCGGCAGATGAGGGCATTTTCACACTATTTCGGGTACCGTAAAACCCTTGGGAGAGGAAGCAGGGTAGAGAGAGGGAAGAATTAACGGATAAAATTGGGTGGCCAGATGGGCTTCTGCGCAGCAGCTTCTGCATATCTCTGGTGCATTTCAGACCTAAAAACTATAGATACAAGGGTTTGTATGTATGTATCTATATATTCTATAAATATATAAGCTTGAATTTCGGGATGGTGGCTTTTGTAGCTTTTGAGAGGGTTTTGTGGAAACAGGAAAGAAGAGGGCTGGAGTTTTTAGGGTTGAAGAAAGGAGCATTTGAAATTATTTAGGGAAAATTTCATCCTCAGTCTTCAAGCTATTGACTTCGTACAAAAGTGATCCCATTCTTCAACCTCTAAAGCCCAGTCTTGCGCGTGTGGCCAATTTATCAAATTACAAATTTATTAGTTTACAGAACATAGATTTTAACTTTAGTTGTTTACATATCTTATCTATCAACTTATCGTATTAATAAATGAAATATTATTTCAGAATTGAACTGATATTATTATTTCAAATGGCAAGGAAAAAGTATTATTTTTATTGAGATGTCTCATGACAATAAATTAGTACAATTTTAAAGGTGTTTATTAGATTTTATAACTGTTTAACTCTGTTGTAGAAAAAATTATTTTTTTTAGTAAATTTGCATAAATAAAAAATCATGATTATTTTTTAACTCTCCCCTTACTGTACTATCAAGTCATATAGGTGTTTGGTAGACATTTTTATGTGAAAATGCATTTTTGAATAGTAAATTAATGGAAAATGTGTGGTTAAAAAATAAGGAAAAGTTTTTGATTTACGTGTAATATTATTTTAATAAAGAATGTTTGGTTGAAAAGAAGAGAGAGAAAAATGCATTTTGAAAAAAATGGGTACCAAACATGACCATACTTTTCAACATTTTCTTATCATGAAGTAGTTGAAATTTTTGACAATTTTAGAGGGTGTTTGGTAGGAATTTTTATGTGAAAATGCATTTTTGAATAGTAAATTGATGGGAAATGTGTGGTTGAAAAAGAAGAAAAAGTTTTTGATTTACGTGTAATATTATTTTAATAAAGAATGTGTGGTTGAAAAGAAGAGAGAGAAAAATGCATTTTGATAAAAATGGGTGCCAAACAGGGCCTTAAAAAACGACATTGATTAACGGGTCGATTCAGACAATATATTTAATTTGTATAACTCGTTTTGTTAGATCATATAATCATATTATCATTTTGGGATGAAAATAGTCATTTTTTATCACCTGAACAGAGTCTGATAAGCTCGCTGTGTTTTTAATTTCATATGTAGTTGGAATGTTTTTGTAAAAAAATTCGAAAGTGGTCTCTCTCTCTCTCTCTATATATATAATTAGTATGCGTAAGAGGGCATGTAATCCTCAGTTTATACCATATGGACATGTATGAGAATTTGAGAATTTCTTGTCGGGCGGGTTTAGGCCATTTTATTGAAAAAATTATGCCTAAATCTTATTAATTTGTAGAATATAGTGAGTTGGCGACTCACAATGGAGCATGTCACGTCTCAAATCTACTGGAGTCACATGTAATAAGTCATGTCAATAATTGCCCAATTAATAATCGTGCTACACTTATAAAAAGTCATTATCACCCCTTTTGACATATCATAGAGTGAATTTCTAATTTCACCGGCTAAAAGGATTGTGAAATAAGAGTTAGATTACTTGTACAATGCTTTTGGACTGGAGACTGCTCTGTCCTGGTGATCAAAAGTGGCTTCCTCAAAATTCATCTTACGAACGATCCAAAGCGACTAGTAGGGGAGAGAGGAAGTTATGGGATAAGTCCACTCTCCCCTACTAGTCGGATAGATTACTTGTACAATGCTTTTGGACTGGTAGTTTGACAATACGATGTGTAAATATCTTAATTATTGATTTAAATAAATGTTATTTAATAAATTGTCAACTCTTAAATTGTCAATCTAATTGAAACACCCAAAAGGTAAAATAGCATGATAGGATTCATAGGGAACTTATTAGGGGCTTGTTTGGGAGCGATTTTTTCCTCAAAAAAATTGATTTTTTGATCGTTATTCCACTATTCTAGCCATCATATTTGACTTCTTCTCTCATGAGTGGACCTCACCTTTCTCCTAACAGTCAAAAAATCAATTCTCAAAATTACTCCCAAACAGGCTCTAGGCCGTGTGATTTTTAATTTGATCTATTCAAGTCCAAACTTCACTTTGTTGAAAACTTCAATTTGTTGGTTATGACGCGTGGCTCGTTTAAAATCATGAACGTGGAAATTATAGGAACTAATACATTTAGATACCCTATTTCATAAATCATATGTTAAGTTTATTATTTCAAAAATCAGATGTTTTGTTAATTAATTAATTAATATATATATATTAATTAATCTACCATATTTCATTCCAAACCCTAAATCCTTCCTCATTCTTCACTCTCTCTATCTAGACTTCTCTTCTCCTCGCCGCTCTCTCCCTTCCCATCCTCGCCGCTCTCTCCCTTCCCATGGATTCACAGTAGTCACTCGCCACTCTCTCTCCATCGATTCATAGCAACGAGCATCACTCGCTACTGTTTAATGACGTTGCGCACTACAGCAACATCGTGCTGCCGTTCGCAGTAGTGACGGTGTTGTTGCTGACACTAGTGTGACGACATCACCGTGCTTAGTGTCGAGGCGAGTGATGGAAAACATTGTCTCCTTCTTCTAGGTGGTGAGCTTTCTTAGTCGACGCGACAATAGCAATATAGCCTTGGAAAAATTAGGTTTGGGTGTTGGTAGTGATAGTGTTGGTGACGTGGTTGCAATAGCCCTATATGTGGTTGTGGCGATCGTGGTGTTGCTATTAAGAGGTGGTTGTGGTGGTATGTGCAGCTATGGGTGCGATTGTGGTGTTGTGGATGCAATGGTGGTGCGGTGGGTAGGTGTGCGTGCGTGACAGTGGTGGTCATGGCGGTGGTGACGGTACAACGTTGGTGGCGATGGGTCGTCGTGTGGTGGTGGATCTGGCGCGACAATGTGGTAGTGTTTTTCTACGATATGTTGATTTGTTTGAGATGGTGGTGTGGTGGTTCTGGGGACGACGATGGTGGTGGTGGTGCTGGAGGTAATGGTGAGATAGTGAATGTTGGTAGTGGTCACAAATTATTTAATTGACTTTGATCATTAAATTAGTTAATCTGTAATTAATAAATAATACGTGACCAGTGAAAAATATAAATTGTGATAAAGAAATAATGCGTGACCTAAAAAAATGTTAATATGTGATCAATAATTTGATAAGTTGTGACTTACAATATTTATAATTTGTGACCGATAAATGAACTATGACTTATAATTTTTTTGATTTGTGACAAATGAATAAATTATAACTTATAAATTTTTTGAATTGTGATCATAAAATAATTTGTGACATATAAAAATTATGATTTGTATTCAAAAAATAATATGCGACAAACAAAATCGTTAATTTGTGATCAAATTATATAGATGTGTGATCTTAATATATTTAATTAATTAAATACATAATTAATTAATTAAATCATAAATAATTTTTAATAAAAATATAATTTTTGAAATTTGAAATATTTGCTCTTAATTTTGAAATGAGTGATACTTAGCTCCCGTTTGGCCCAATTATTTTGGAAATGAAAACGAGTAAAATGTTGTTTTTTTCTCTTTAAAACATGAGTGATTGAAAAAGAAGGAAAAATTTTCGATTTACGTTTAAAATTATTTTATGAAAAATTATATGATTGAAAATAGAAAAAAAAAATGAAATGTGATGAAATTTAATGTAATAAGATTTAAACTTATGCTTAATATCTTAATTATAAATTTTTCCCATCATGAACTCACATGAAAAAAGGCCAAAAAATTATAGGACCACTGTTCAGTACATATACTCGTCTAGATTTTTCGATTGCGACATCTGAGTTATTAAGTCCCGTTTAACTTCTTTTTTTAAATAAAATAATTTATTTCTCAAACTTAAATTACACATTTATACAATAAAATATTTTGTACATAAATTTAAAATTTTTCTTCATTTTAACAACACAGACATGTTTGACCCACATTTTGAAAAAGTGTATTTTTAAATAGTGATTTGACATCATTTCAACTACACATTCTTTAATAAAATAATATTACACGCAAATCCAAATTTTTCTTATTTTTTAACCACATATTTTTCATTAATATACTATCAAAAATGCATTCTCATGAAAATAATATGGCTCAAACAAGGCACATTCTTTCAAAAAATCATCATTTAAAATATTATTTTTACACAATAATCCATGGAGTTAATTGTTTTAATTGTCACTGAACTTAGGTCAATGTCTTTAATTGATCATTGAAATTTAAAATATCGAGTTAACTTAGGTTCATGTCTTCGATTACTCACTGAAGTTTAAAATGTCAAGTTTTGGTCACTGAACTTTGAAAAATGTTGTTCATTGAACTTTGAAAAATATTATATATTGCTTACTGAACTTTGAAAAATATTGTACATTACTTATTGTAAATTCGATATATTTCAAAATTCAACAGTTATACTAGTGAGTAATGTACAATATATTCCAAAGTTTAATGGCCAAAATTCGATATTTTAAGCTTCGATAAGCAATTTAAGACATGAATCTAAGTTTGATAACCAAAACTCAATATTTTAAATTTCAATGACTAATTAAAGACATGAACATAAGTAGTGGCCATTGGAACAATTAACTCTAATCCATGTGTCAAAGTGTCCATCCTTAAAACACCTGTCTTTCTCACCGACTCTGTCAAATCTCCTTTCCCACAACTCTCTTTTGTTGCAAAAAAATTGCCTACAAACTTCCGCCTTGTTATTTCTTCTCTTCTTCTCTCTTAAGTCGCATAATCCAATTCCCAATCTCCCATTCGTCCTCCATTTTCATACTCAAAAAAGTGATAAGGCCGTTTCTCGAACTCTTTGGAAATTGGCATTCCTCTTTCTGTATAGTTTTTTTTTTTTTTTTCAAAAAATTTGAATGATGGGACGTTCGCCTTGCTGTGAACTAGAAGCACACACCAATAAAGGAACATGGACTAAAGAAGAAGATGAGCTCCTTGTCAATTACATCGCTCTTCACGGTGAAGGCTGCTGGCGTTCCCTCCCTAAAGCGGCAGGTACTACCTAATATAAATTTATACGGAAACTTTTAAACAGTCTAGGTTCTCGAGTCTAAACGTTGGACAAACTCGAAACCTAATTTTTTTTCAAAAAATAATTTTGATCCCAGATTTGTTGTTGACTTCAACTAAAAATAAACTTAATTGTAG